TGTCCTAAAGAGTTTTAGTTTGGTTTCTAACTGTGCTCAAAATATATTTATATAAAGCATTATGTGCAGGATGAATAACATGCATTTGGAAAAATGAGTGCTAGAAACGTGATTGGCCGGTAATCGGATTTTACAGTTCGAAGACACCAAAACTATCAGTCTTGATTTTCTCAAGTCCTACGGCATAAAGTTCGGCGACCCCTTGATATTGTGTGAACTCCATATAACGGTAATTTTACTTGCTCTGTGACAACTTATCAGGGAATGGTTCCACAAGAGTCTGTATCAATGAAAAACTTAGATTTTCCCCCCCTTGCTAGATCAAAGACCACAGCTGCTTTCAGTACTTGGTTCCTGAATTGGACTTTTGGCTTCACATCCAGTGGAACATTCCAAGGAAATTGCTTTGCCTGAAGATAGAACTTTGTGATTGCAGAAGATCCATAAAGTTCTAGCTTCTTATCAGTACAATCGGGCAAAACCTATACAAAGAAGTGTGCAGAATTTGGATTCAATGCAGGCAACGATTTTTGCCTGGACAACCTTATCATGCTTGCTGAGATCTCCTTGAAGGAGCTGGATGTTTTCTGTGCTCACAAGCTAGTCATGTGGAAAGTACTTGTGAGCTTCTGTGATTGTCTCTGCTTAACCCTCAAAATCAGACTATATCAGTGTTTCTCAACCTTGGCAACTTCAAGATGTGTGGACTTTAACTCCCAGAATTCCTCAGCCAGCAAGGCTGGCTGGGGAATTCTAGGAGTTGAAGCCCACACAACTTGAAGCCCACACATCGTGAAGGCTGGGGAATTCTAGGAGTTGAAGCCCACACAACTTGAAGCCCACACATCTTGAAGGCTGGGGAATTCTAGGAGTTGAAGCCCACACATCTTGAAGTCCACACATCTTGAAGGAGTTGAAGTCCACACATCTTGAAGTGTGGAATTCTAGGAGTTGAAGTCCGCACATCTTGAAGTCCACACATCTTGAAGGAGTTGAAGTCCACACATCTTGAAGGTTGAGAAACACTGGACTTTTTAAACTTGTGGTCAGCAGTTCTAATATATGTTTCCTGGCCTCTTCTATCCAGTGCTTCCATCCTTACCAGTCACGTGGAGGTGGTTTCCTCATGACATAGGGGGAATACTCTCTTGAACACTTTTTACATTCCCAGCAACTTGGGATGTGTGTATGAAGCCATGAGTCAACCTACTTTGAAAAACTAAGTGACTCAACTAAACAAACAAACAAGCAAGAATTTCCCAGGATAATTTTTTTGGACAGGATAACCTCCTCAGATTGGGACAATCCCAGTCAGAATGGGACAGTCGCCAGGAATGCTTTTCATTACAATTAATGCGACACGCCATTCACGCCTGCATGCAAATGCTCCTGTCTTTGTCGGTTACATCATGTAAACACGCATCTTCAAAAATAGGAAATGTAAACAGTTGCAGGAGTCGGTGAATCAGCTCTGTTTCTGGGCAGAAATGGAAATGAATATTGCTCTTTGCGGTAGAAATTAATTGGAGGGAGCAGATGTTGGAATAATAGGTGCGCCGTGTTCAAGCTGGCAGTGTGCCAGGGGAGATTTTCAGGCTTATGGACTGAGCGCATTTTCAATTGACTAAAAGTCCGAGGGTGGAAAGGCCAAAGAATTTGTTTTGTGAATCAACTCACCCACAGATGGATTAATAAAAATTCCTCTGGATCTCGGCAACAATTGCAACAAGCATGCACAGCAAGAAATCATAAAAAGAAACGAGAGAGAAAAATTCTGGGAGGGAAGAAAGGGGATGCTAGGACAAATCTCTGGGTGAATGGTGAAAAACAAAGGCCTGGATCGCAGCGATTCAAAATGTGGTTTGCTTTCCGTTCCCAGGGCGTGAGAGCCCGTCTCTGTGATCTGTAAATTGGGGTTAAGAGCTTGGCTTGCCACAAATTCAGCAACTGTGTTTTCTTTTCAGTAAATCATAGTTAAACCAATGGTTTTGCCCACCTGAATGTTTATGTATATTTGTAGGTACTGTACTTATGTATATCTTTATTCAATTTATATCCTACCTTTCATTTGGAAGTTCAAGGCAATGGACGTTGGGTTCTGTCTTCCTATTATTTCCCACAACAACAACCCTGTGAGGTAGGTTCAACTGACAGAGTGACCTGCCTAGAGTCACCCAGGAAGATTCTAGTCCACTGTGGCGGGACTCGAATCTGGGTTTCTGCAGTGCTGGTCCAACACCGAAGTCCTAAACATTTCCATCTACAAAGAAACAGTGAAATTAAGACATTGAATAATATGTTG